ATATCACCGTCTGTTTTTAACAAACGGATGGGGCCCCTATTTCGAGTGCATTGCCCGATGTAGCTGTCGAAAAACTTGGGGTTTCCTTTTGGACGTTTTATTAGATTACTCTCAAAGCTTTGGCTGCCATTTTGTACAAGACTCCTTACCCTGTTTTTCGGCGCATTTTACTTATTTTGAGACGCGGGGGTCTTCCCTCTGGAACAGTTTTGCCCCAACGTTCGTTTGTGGTTGACTTCTCTCTTAAGTGTGAGCGTTGGCCACATAAGCCTGTTTGTTTCTTTCTTTTCCAAGATAGGGCAGAATTCGTTAATTAGTCCGTGTACTACGGCTTTTACTACTGACCAATCACCGAGAACGCACCTGGTGAATGTTTCGTTCCAGTCTATCCTGCTCACTGTGCTTTTCATTTGAGTAAAGTCTCCACGCTAGGTGTTGCGTCTGATAAGCAGGCACAGAGAAGAGTGTATACTTTCACTGCAGTACTAGGTGGTCACTTTTGCCGAGGGGACCCCGGGCAAAAGTGCCGGGTTTGTGACCCCGGCTTTTTAACGGTATACTGCCTGCAAGGTTTTGAGATTTGACGGACACGAACAGTCCATGCTTAACATACAGTTGAGCGCACCCCCACCTTGACGCCATACTCTATCTTTTCTGAACAATTGGAAACCGGGGAGAGCAACTTCCCGACAGACAGACGACATCTGGGTCCACTTGGCACATAATAATCTCAGGCTCACCTTATTTGTAGAGCACGCCTTTTGCATTGGTTTACATGCACGGAAGTTTTTATTGTTCGGTGGCAGCTGGTGGTGTCAGTCAGTTCCTGGCCGTCGTTCGGAGTATTACGGATTGCTTCAAGCAAAACCGTGTTTTCTTTTGAATTACCTTCCCGTTAAAGATTGCCAGGCCTGCCTCGCTAGTTTCAAATTTAAGCAGAAAATTTGAAATTTCACAGCACCAAAATGTTGCGCAATATTTCTCACAACAGGTACACGTTCTTTAAGTGTCACTTTGCCAGAGACACTATTAATGCTTCCATTAAGAAAATGGTTCTTGTAGCAGAGACCGATGAGAAGGTACGACTACCTGTCACAGAACAATGTCCGATTACAGAAACTTTGGAGAAGATTTTCATAAAAATTGTGCCGGGTAAAACTAAGTTTCCTATTTATGTGTTGTTTTTTTTTAAGCTGAGTGCGTACACTTTCCTGCATGTAGCCCGCACCAAATCACTCGTCTTACAATTCCCTTCACTTTGCAGTGAACTTTCAGTTTGCCTTCTACACCAACTGGACTTCCAAACCTCGGGTTCTGGAGGTAGAAGGCAAAGATAACACGAAGCTACAAGTCGGCTTCTGTTCGTGCTTACACCAGACGGCGGCCAGTTTCATCACATGCGAGTCCGAAGAGACGATAAACAGATCGTTAACACTGGAGTTTGACGCTGGATTCTTAATCCAGGTAGGCAAGCACTTTTGATTTACACGACATACACCGCAGACGGCCACATACGGCAAATGTGGTGGCAGTAACGGCCGTAAAAACTGCTATATGCAAGCGGGTAAGTTCAGTACCGCTGGTCTTTTCGAAACCTCCACTTGCAAATGTTGATCCTTAGTAAACACTGTCATAGCTTTTGAATAATCTGTAATGTTAGTCAATGGCTCCAATCTTATGCTTCCATTTCAGTCAATTCCGACGTGATTTTTATTATCGACGACACGTCGCTGTACACAAAAGTGAAGTTTGATAACAAATACAAAGATTCTTGGGAAATCTACGAAATTCAGCAATTGAAGGATATTTTTCAGGAAATTAACGGTTACCCACCCATATGGAACGAAATTGAATTTAAAGATTTTCCTCTCAACGTAGCGCCAACTGTAAGCCAACTATCTTCTATTAGCATAACATTTGAAATTTCATAAATTTTTGCACGGCACCGAAGTGTGTGCAATATCTGTCACAGCAATTTCACAGTATTTAAGTGTCACTACTACAGTGACTTAATTGTTGCTTCCATTTAGAAAATGATTCTTACAAAAACAAATAACGAGGAGGTGGAAGTACCTGCCAGGAAAGATTGCCCGGTGACAGGACA